AACTAGTTACGTCACGGGAGAAGCTTCGAAGGAAAGCGAGAGAAAGAGAGAGAGAGAGAGAGAGAAATATCAAAGTTTTATTCTTTTTCAAACGATTAGAATATTTGGAAGAAAATTCGAAGAGTTCATCCTTCTCGCTAAAAATTGTTTAAACGATCGACGAAGAAACGAGGAAGGAAAGGAAAGTTAAAAAGGTACAGATACTCGAGTCACGAGTCTACGAAAAGAATCTTCGAAGGAAGGAGAGAAAGAAAGAGAGAAAGAAAGAGAGAGAGATATCCACGAATGGAACAAAGACAGCAACTGTACCGGACTTCGATGATCCTCGGGGATAGCATAAAATTCGAGCCTCCCCTCGAGCTAGGCCCGAACGAAATTTAATAACATCCCCCTAGTTACACCTCAATGGGCACCTTAACAACCCCTGTGTCGGGTAGCCAGCCGTCTCTCACCGTTCTCTCACTCCATCCCCCGTTCTCCTCTCCTTATCAACCCCGAACGCGGATATCTAATAAACCAGCTCTTGAAACGCGTCTTTATCCGAGCAACGATACTCACCCCCTTCTTTCCCCCTCTCCCCCCGGCTTGTTTCGACAGGGTGGGCGAAAGTTGGAAAGCTGTCCGACTGACCTCAGCCGCGAACTGGACGGAGGCGCAACCTGTGCGCTGACCGTCGAACTACCAGCGAAAGGGTTGAAAAAGTGGTGGACACGGAGCCGTGGAATAAACCGATCGATATGAGGATGATGTCGGTCGCGACTGCGACCCAGTTACGCGACCGCGCGTTTCCTATGGATTGAATTTACTCGTTGATGTTAGAAGGACGCCTTCTCTTCTCGCAGAGAAGAAGAATTTCTCTTTTCCCCTCCTCGCTTCTTCGAGTCGATCGCGAAAATGTTTAATAACAAACCGACCGCGAGAATTCTTCGATCTCGAATTTCTCGAGCTCTCCGTAATCACCTGTCTTCTCGTCAGATCTCGTTTCTTCTTCGAGAAAAGGAGAAAAATAATGGGAAGAGAGAGGGAGAGAGAGAGAGAGAGAGAGAGAAGGAAAATAAACTGTTACGGCCATTTTATAATGTGCGAAAAGATTCGAGAAGGAGAGCGGGATCCGGGAAGAAGAATGAGCGAGAAACTCGCGTGGAGGGATAACGCGAAAATAGAATTTCTCGCAATTTCCGACCCTTATCCTCCGCTATTTTCCCACCCACACCGGGGCTCGGCAACTCGTCCCCGCAAAATATCCAACGCGGCGAACTTCCATCGCACAGCTCGGTAATTCGATTCAGCCGGCCGCTGTATAGCCGCGTTACGACACTAGGCTGCGACACTTCCGCTCACCGATTACGACCCGTGCAACAATTTTATGCAGCCGACCTGGAAATTGTTGCGTCCATCCTCGTTAGCTGAAATTACGACGGGAAATCTGGAAAGAAGGAAAGAGGAGGAAAGAAGGAGGAGGAGAAGGGAGGGGGAGCGGGGGGGGGGGAGCGCGGTCCTTGATTGAGTAGACCACGGGCGGGGGAGGGGACAAAAGGACGGATAAGGGGGCGGATAGGGGATGATGGAGGGGGAAGGAGGGGAGAGGAGAGGAGAGCAGAGACGAGAAATCGACGGCAGGACTGCTACTCCACACTACCCCCCGGGGGGGCAGCAGGGGAGAGAAGCTCCGTTAAGCCGCTTATCATGCCGAAACAATACACTGTCGGTGCACCAGTATCAGTAGCCGACCCTCGCCGCTCGAGGCTAGTCCCATCAAAATTTCGAGCTTCGAACGAATTTGAATTGGAATCCGCGCCGCCAAACGCTAACGCCCGTCCAATCCTCCGCCACAGGAAATTGCCCGGTGGGACCGAGCGCCCAGTTTTTCTCGATCGCGATTCTCCACGGCGGGGCGAAAAAAAAAATCCACGCCTTCGAGAGAAAATTGATGAACATTTTTCAGTTTATTATGATAACTCGCGGTCCGATTTTACGAGGAGAGGGGGAATCGAGTTCGAGGTTGTTGAAAATACAACATCTATCCTGTCTTCGCCGAGGATTGGATCGGGAATTTTCGGAGGGAACGAGAGAAGTCAAACGGGGCGCAAAGTTTCGTCGAAGAGTGGCGTCGACAAACGAAAGGCCGGGACTTAATCAGAGTCTTCTCCACTTAGGCGCCCCGTGGCAAAACTCAATTTTGAGTCGGCGCCTGCCGACGCTCAATTTTGACACCCTTCGTAGCCACCAAGCCAGCCAACACTGGAGCAAGCTTGCCTTCGCGACACCCCGGGGAAGGGGGATGAAACGCAGGGTTGTAAACTTAGTTATCCGGTTGCCACTGAGACGAGGTACGAGCCGGATGCCGCGCTATGTGCAGGTTGGCATTCGTTCTGCACGAAATCTTCCATTGGCGGACACTTACCGGTCAACTTGAATCCCAGAGGATCCTGAGGGTGGCCGAAAGGGAAAGGTCTAGGCCCGAAATGAAACGGGTGGAAAGCCTGGTGCCCTGAAACGCAACGTGCTTCGTCAATTGGCGCGTGACGTGTATAATTCGTGCATATCTTATCTCTTGGATAACGCGATGTTAAAAGATCGGAGATTTTCCGTCGTGCGAAGATAATTGGGTAATTATTTTAATCGGTGAATATCGAGTGGTGACGGATCTAGTGTCCGATAATTCATTCGCACATAAGTAATAATAGTTAATAAATAAAAATAAAATTGCATTCTCAAAAAGTTAATTTTATCGTCATGGGTTTTAATATTATTCAAGTTGACAAAATATACTCGATACTTTTTAGAACGAAAAAAAACGATTAAACCCACTATTATCCTTGACCACTTTCAAGAGCGGAGTTACCCACTGTTGGTAAAACCTCGTAGCACTCACTTGTTTTCGATCTAGGTTCTCTCGGTCCATCCACAGTGACCTTGATTGCTTTAGACAGGGTGGCTACCTGAGGTGGCGACGTTTGCAGCATAATCGTCAAGGTGAAACTTTTTCCTGAAAAAAAAAAAAAAAGTAAGAGACTTGAAACAGTTGATGGAATTATCGCCAGGCGGTAAATCGAGAACATCCGCGTATTTCCTAGCTTTCTCATTTCGACATTATAAATCATAAATATAATAAAAATTTCGTGTCTCCCACGCGAAATGTCGTGAAAGAATCAAAAGAAAAAATTTATAAAAAATATGAAATAATTATACATACATGCTAAAAAGCAATTTTTTTGAAAAAATTAAACGAGACAACAGAAAAGTTAATTCGCAATTCATTCCAATCTCGGAGCAGGGAGAAATCAAAACAGGAAAAACAGACAACGATTTCTTACACGGTTTTCTTTCATCTCAACGAACATCATCCCCCAATCCATCCCTCGCCAACGCGTTTGTCGTCGCGTTTCGACATTACAAATCATAAATCGATAATAAAAACTGCGTCTCGCAAGAATCGAAAGAAGAAATTTAAAAATACAAAATAATTATACAAAATACAGAGAAAGCGCTTTTTCCAAATACATTAATACGTGTAGGCAACGGAACCGGTTAAAGAAAAAAATTACTTGGCAACCCAATCCCGGAGGAGGGAGAAATCGAAACAGGAAAAAACAGACAACGGTTTCTTACGCGATTTTCGGATGGTCGCAACGAACATCATCCCCCAATCCCCGCCAAACAGCCCTCGCCAACGCGTTTTTCGCGAGAAACGCGGCCAACTGTTGGCGAAAACGGCGACGGCCGCTCGCGGGAGTGCGTTCGCTGGAAACAAAACACAAATGTGCCGGAAGTAAGGGGTGAACGAGTGGCGCCGCCGCGTCGATGTTTGCCCCGAATCGGCTGGAATATGTTAATGTCGGGAGAGGCTAAACGCGAGCCCACCCCCGACAAATGTACGCGCGGCCGTTTGTCACGCGCGATTTCGTCCTCTCCACCTTTTCCACCGATCCACCACCCCTGTCGATCGGTTCGATCGCTTCGATCCGCGCCATCATGCCGAGGCCTGTCAAAGCCTCGTCGCCTCGTATCTTGTCGTTCCATTCGACGAGGACTCCGCGTTTTCGCTTCAAATTTGTCGTCCGTCCCTTTCGAACGGTGGAATTTCGTCAACAGTGTTTACTCCGCCGATTGTTCGTTTCCCGTTGAGAATCGCTGCGCTGCACGACGATTTCTCCCGTTTTTTAAACAAATTTTTTTAAACAACGACGCGATCGTTCGATTTTCCCACAAAATATCCCGTCAAATTTAAAACTTTGGGACGGAAGTTCTTTCGTTCGATCGATTCGACGACGACGAGGCAGGGCCAATCGTTGAGAGGAAAGCTCAGAAATAATCATATTCGCGCCGTTCCAAAATCCATGGTCAAGTTTGAACTTTCAACGGCAAACTTTCTCGAACGGCGAAACTTTCTCGATTCGACGATCAGCTGGAATAGGTCGGCGGGAGGGAGGGGGAGGGGGAGGGGGAGGGGGAGGGGAGGGGATAGGGAGAGCGGAGAGGGGGCGAGGGGGAAGGTTAAACGATGAAATAAAAGCTGGCACTTACCCGCGTTTTCGCGCTACGAGCGCCGAGTTATACGGCTTATAATGGGGTCGGCGTGCATACACGCGCGCGGTTGCGCAGTTTTATTTTATGGGGGCGTGGGTTGGACGGCAAACGACCGGGTTTTTACGGTGAACCACGACATTTAACCGGCTTACCGCCGTCGTCCAGCGAAATATTCAACTCGGGACGTTTAACGTCACTCAGGAAATCTGGCCCTTCTCCGCGAGTTCCGCTCGCGGAACCGAGGACTGTTGCTTCTCCCTGAGACGTGTTTAATATAGACAAATGCCGCGTGCACAATGCCGAGGAAAAAATTTGTAGAATTTTTGAATTTTTGAAAGACGATCGAGAATAATTTCTCGAAGGGAAGGAAGGAAATTTTGTTCGAAACGAAGCGATTGAACGACGATATCCTTCCTTCGATCGTTGATGGAATGAAAAAAAAAGAAAAAAAAAAAAGAAAGAAGAGAGAGAGAGAGAGAGAGAAATAATCGCCACGCGTGATATTCGATCGAATGATTTGACGATTTGATGGGAAAAAACGATGGGGGGAGGGGGAAAGGGAATTCATCGATGGTTTTTAATCCTTCGAATGAGAGATCGGGGGAGGGGGGGAAAAAAAAAAAAAGTGGGAGGGAAAAAAATTTATTCGAAACAGAGCACAGAGATTTCGGAGGGTGGAGAAGCGGAGGGTTAACAAGGGCAAAGTTTATTGCCGGTGCGGTGTCAGATTCGTGATGGTGGTAGCGGCGCGAATCGAGGGTGATGGCAGGCGTTTTGAGGGTGTTTATGAGGCATTATGTGTAACTCGCTGGAAGAACGATCCTCCCCCTTGAGGTCTGCTGCCCTCCACCTGTCTACGCTCGCCGAAATTGTAATTCGTTGCGTGGTAAAACGCTGCCTTTCCACGCATCAATCTGCGCCCTGTTGCAGCCTTTTGCATAATTTCTCAATCCAACCACGTACACAACCGAATATTACACCCCCTCGTTACTGCAAGGCCTATATACACATTCTCCGAAACACGTTCTTCTCTCTTTTCAATTTTTCATCCCCGATTTCTCCACCCGTCCTCTCCCTTCCCCCCCAAAAAAACTTTCAATTATTTTTTATCGGTTCACATCGTCGTTCAAGTATCGATAATCCACGAAAAACGATCTGCACTCGACAGATCATTTTCTTACATTTTCTCGGATTTCCGGTTCGAAAAGAATGCATCGTTTCGATCGAAAATTATTCCCCAAAGGAAGGATCCTTCGCGGTTTCGGTATCTGCGACCGCGAATAAAACGAATAATCGCCAGAGAGGATTTTTCTTCTCGGACGGAAGAAAAAAAAAAAGAAAAGAAAAGAAAAGAAAAGAAGAAAAAACGCAAGCATAATGGCCGCGCGTTTACGGGTCGCTCGCGTAAGTCCGCGTCAATTTACACGACAAGGATTTGCACACCGCGAGAAGGCACGAGAGAACGCTCGCGTACACCCTAAGTTTGCCCAGGGATCATGCAGTGTTAAAAACTCCCCTGTTTGCCGGCGAAGCTCGTAGCCGAGGGTGGCTCGGATCGTTATTTCAGAGTGTTTGTCGTGTTTTAAGATTCTGACGTTTTGACTGGCCGAATCGCCCGGCGGAACGAGGCGGAAACTCGTGTCGTCTCCTATCGACACTGCCCTTCTTCTTATTTCCCGGCAATTCCCCGCTCTCGCTTCATTGCTCAGAGAGAGAGAGGGAGAGAGAGGGAGGAGGGGGGGACAATTTTTAAGAAAGGACGAGCTAATTGACGCCGAGCAGTTATATTCCGACTTATCAAAAAAGGGACAAAGGGAGGGACAAGAGAGGGCAATTTGCGTAAACGGCATTGTTTATACCAGCTGGGAGGGAGAATCCTCCCATCTATACAATTTCACGTGAAGAAAAAAGCGTAGCCGACGTCTCGCAACGTTGATGCACAACAAACTGCTTCAGGAATTCGTCTTTAATTACCACGTTGTACCACGAGGATACCGCGTGTTCTTTTTCCATTGCTGGAAATCGGATGGAAAAAGAATGGAGAAGCTAAAAATGAAAGGATGGAGAGGAAAGAGAAGGAAAACGAAAACGAGGCAAGTCGAGGCCTCGTTCACGGATGATCGAAGGCAGAGGGCTGATAGGCGAGCGGAGGAATCTTTGGGGCGGGACAGCGATGGACATCGAGTCGAGGATCCATCGGAGCGAGGCGGAGAGCACGGTTGAAAAGGGCGAAAGGAGGAAAAAGCGTGGAGAGCGTGGAATTAGCATATGTAAAAAGAACAGTGGCGCGTACGACGAGAGGAGCGGAGGCCAGGAGGAAAAATAATGTTTAATCGGTAGAAAATCTCGGTGCAGTCATCCGTCGTAGAACAGCCACTCCTTCCCTCCCTCCCTCCCGCCTACCCTCCCCCCCTGTCTCCTGCGTGATCCTTTACTTGAGAGAGGGCTGGATTTTTTAATTTTTAATTGGGAAAAAAACGTCGCTGAGGTGGTCGACGAAATCCACCGAGTCCCTCTACTGAATTTCGACGACGTTCCACCCTCCCTCTCCTTTCTCCCTTCGCTCCCTCGATTCCTTGCCACCCAGACGAAGGGGGGAGGAGGGCATTTTACGGATTATATAGATTATTCGTTCGATGGGATATGATTAAGTGGAATTTTAGAAGCGGTCGACTATCGAAGAGGGGAAGAAGAAGGAGGAGGGGGGCCACTAAGTTTCTCTCCGGAGGAATTCTCTCTCTCTCTCTCCCTCCGCCAACGCGATAATTAATTAGAGCAAGGTGGAGAGGGTGCAAGTCACGCACGATCGAGGCGAAATTTCGGCAACTATCGTCGCAACAGCTGTTCCACCCATAACGAAGGGAGATCCAAAAAGGTCCGCGAGATAAAGAACGCTCGCGAGACCCTCTTCAACGGGGTCGGTCGACGGGTCTCTACGGGACTTGTTAAATCATTTCCACGCACAAGTTTCTTCTAACTTCCCGTTTCGTTAACTTTGAACGGATGAAATGTACATATACGTATATATATTCGAGGAAATCAAAGAATCGTGGAAGAAACGAAGGAAACGGAATTTCGCAATCGCGAGAAATGAGAGATGGAAGATTAACAATAGGGAAAGATTGTTGTACGAAGTCTCGTCCGTCCGGATCCGCGTAACGGATCGTGGAATTCGATACGAAGGGACATTGCAGGGAATAGAATAGGGTGTAGTTGTCGAGGATTGCGTGAATCACGGTCTAAAACAAGGCCGCTATGGCATTAGCAGGAGGAGGAGAAAGCAACGAGCGGCGAATCCATTGCGCGAGGACATCGGTCAGGATCCGGGCTGTCGATAGTTGGAGCTTTGCCTCGGATTCTGCCGCCTCCAGCTCGAGCCCGAGCACGTCATAAAACACAGGTAACTCCGGTATTTATGTCCGTCGTTTTTACGCCCGTCGCTGGCCACCGGGGGCTCGGTGCCGAGCACCAGCCGGATGCCACACACGCGCGCGCGTCTCGTCGCCGCCTCGTGACTCCTCTCTCCTAGGCAACAGAGGAGAGAGCTTCGCGCTAATCCCTGTCAGGAACGAAAGGGGTGGCCGAGTGATATACGCCTCTGCGCCGCTATGATAATATCCCCCCTCTCCGACCGGGACCACCCTTTTGTTTCGCGACTACCAGCCACTTTTCTCCGCGAGCAACTGCAAAAGAGATCGACGCGTCCAACCCTTCTCCCTCCAAGATTCTCCCACTCTTCGACTTTCGAAATTCGTCGAAAGTAACGCGCGAAAACGCGTCTATCTATGTCCATCTTTATCTCATCTTTCCGTCCAATTTCGATCGTACACACGATATCGTCTCGATGCGAACGTTGTTAGAAATGTGATCGTTGGGATTGTGATCAACACTCGAGAGATAACGAGATTTATTTATCGCTATCGCTAGGTATTATTATTAGACCCAAATGTTATCTACGGATATAAAAATTGTTGGAAAAAAAAGAAAAAAAAAAAGGAAAGAAAGTTACTTGAAAAGGTTTGCGAACGATCATCGACGTTTCCTTCGATTCGAAAAATTTGGATTTGGAAAAGGAAAACGGAACGAAGGATCGAATTTTTCGGGAAACAACGATCGCTCGTTCGTCTCTCACCCCTCTCTCCCCCCTAACTAAAATCATTCCTCGTCCGCATTCGCAGTATTAAATTGGCATGGCGAAACCCGCGAGCGAGCATGGAACAAATATTTACCCCGAAATGTGCGCTCAGTGAGCGCGGGCCACGTGCAAAATAACGGAGGCGAAAAAACGGAGAAAAATGTACACACAAGGGATCCGTATATGAAGCGGCCGCTCGTGTGACTCGTCTCTTCGCGGTATTATGCGCGATACACGACGTGGCTCGCCTGCAAACATCATAAATTTTCCATTTATTTAGCAAAATAATTTGTGTTTATCCGTCTCCATAGATGATAACGGTTGTTATCGGCCGCGTTATCGGTGATCGCGGTATTCTTTCTACCGGAAAAAAACGTGCCACCACCTCCGATTAGCCACCGGTTTCGTTGAAACGGCGTTCAAAGAAAAGATCTCGCTCGAAAATTGAAAAACTTGCCTCGTAAATCGAGGCGAAAGATCGTCGACGTTTCCTTTTTTTTCCCTCCCCCCTTGACTACCCGCTACCTTTATCGGCATTTTAGATATCGATTCCTTCGGAATAATACACAAATCTGGACACGTATTTGCTCGTGGGCGATACTCGCCCCCTCTCGAAAACACGATTGATGGCGATGTTAGAGATATTTGATCTCGATGCGATTCGATCGGAACGAATTATTTTACCGAATATCCCCAGCCGGAAGAATTGTCGAGCTTCCAACTTTCCTCGAAATCGAAATTAATTTCTCGGGAAAATAATTGGCACGCCACAAAGGTATCGGTATCTCGGGTGAAATTTCGCAAGATTCGTCCGGGGGAGGGGGGGAGGGAGAATATTTCGAAACGGATCGGAATTTTCCGGACACGCGGAAAACGATCTTGCATGATCCGTCACTCTCATAGAGGTTTTAGAAGCAAATCGTTGCGTTCGGCTGGTAGTTAGGGGCTGCCCGTAATACAGTAATGAGGGCTTACTGCCATGGAAACCAAAGCCGCTTACAGCCAACCACTCTACTCCCAACCACCCCCCCTGCCACCCCTTTGCCACTCTCTCGCTCTCTCGCTCTGCCCGTCCTGTTCTGTCATCTCCTATATATCCGCGATATCCTTCTCGTCCGACGAGTTTCGCGAAAAAATTGTGAAAATTCGCCCGTTCGTTTCCCTCGCTCCTTCTTCGTCGCGGCAACAAGATTCGAGGGAAGAAATTCCTTCCACGAGGAGATGATTTTCCGTATTTTTTCGGGGAAAATTCGAATCAGCCCTTTTTGTTCGAAAACTTGTTTGTTTAACCTTCGAAAAAAAAACTGCATTGCACGAAAAGTTCACCTCTTCGCCTTTGATTCTTTGGTCGAAAGAAGGAACTCTCCTCCGATCGATCGAAACAGAAATAGTGATTTTTCGTGAATACTTTCACGAAAAATCTTTCGTTTCCAGGGAAATGTTCGAAGATTTACGTGACCCGTTTTGCCGATATCGGGGGGATGATCCATAAAAAAAAAAGGTGACATTTAAACCACCGTTTAAGAAGAGAGGCGTGCGAAGAGAGGCAACGGTCGGGCAAACCTCGCAATTTCCTTTTCCAATTTGCCATAAACAAGTCGACCGGCCCCCTCGTTAACCGCCTAGCAGCTCGTGTAACTGCTCTCTTGTGAAAGTTGCTCTCGATGAAGACGAAGAAGAAGAAGAAGAAAAGGGACGTCGTTGCAACTCGGTCTCGAATTAAAGGAATTAAAGGACGCCTCGTTACTCGTATCTCTGGATCCTCGGCCACCCTCTTGGCCGGAAAAAAAACGGGCCAGATTCGAAGGGGGAGAATGGAAGAAGGGCGCAGGGTGAGGGTAACTTGCTTCTTCCACCCTGACTCGATTCTGCCCGAATCGCGCGACACCGTTTGCATTAAGAGTTCGTAATGGCAGCGATTATTAGGCCGCATTATTCAACCCCGACCTAGGACCCCCGATTTTCCTTTTCTCCTCTTCCTCTTCTCTTTCCTTTCTTTCCACCCGTCCCTCCTCCCATGCTACGTTCACTTTGTCCTCGAAAGAAATCGGTGAATTATTGACACGCGGAGGCGGGAATTAAAAAAAAAAGAAATCTCCGCGACTATACCGTCGTCGAGATATCGAGACCAAGTCACGAGGAGAGAGAGAGAGAGAGAGAGAGACGACGACGACGACGACGACACTGTGTTTGCAGGATGAATTAAAAATGAGGATGGAACGAAGGGGCCAGCTGCCTCTTTTCGCCTCGCGTCCGAGGAAAAACGAGGCCATCAGTTGGCCCACCGCCTTAATGTACCGACTACTGAATGATTTAAGACGCCTTCCAGAAACGCCTTCCTTCCAGCTCGGGATCGGTACGGGTGATCGAATTTTTTCAATCGTTCTTCCGGGACCCCTCCCCCGCTTAATCGTCCGCCTGGCTCAAGGAATCGCTCGTGATTCTTTAAGGGGAGCAAGAAGGTGAACGAAGAAGGGGATAGATTGTTTTTTTTTTCTTCTCTTTTTAAATTCTCCTTTTTGGTCGAAGAGTTTGGTGAAATTTGACTACGAATCCGAACGTGATGTATGGAAAAAATTATATAGCGTCTTACCTCTACCGCTTCTACCGACGAACCTAAGATCGTTGAACTTGGCCACTTGGTTCTTCATCACAGCGGTGGAATTTCTCAATTCCGCGCAGCAATTTTCATCATTTCCTGCACGCACTGTCACCAAGGTCCCGTCACCGACCTCGCCCAAGGCCACTACCTTGAACGCTACCGGAAGCGTCTTGTTTGACCTCCAATGCGCCGGCAGTACCGTGCAGACCACGTGAGGGGAGCCTGTTCGCCACCGAGTTACCGAGTTAATCGGTGAATTTTCCTTTTTTTTTTTTTTTTTTTTGACATCGATATCATCGCGCGAAGAGGGGGGGGGGGGAATTCATTCCGACGAGGGATTTTAGAAAAAATCCGTTTCCACCCGCGGTGTTCTCTCTTACCTGTTCGCACGAGTTCTCCCGGATGCTCGGCGAAGAGACCGTCGAGAGTTCTCTCGGTGAGCAGGTCCGCGGTGAGGGCATAGTCCGGAAGATTGTTGCCACCGGTGGATCCTTGGGGAGGGACCTCGTTCGCCAAATGCATTCTTCTCCTCGTGGACGAGGCCCTGGTGCGTCTGATCCTCGCTGCACCGATCTGATGCGTCGAGCTCCCTTGATGCTCTTGATGACCGTTCCGGACCAATCTCGGGTCGGGATAGTCCAAGCCTAGAGGCCGATCCTCGGGGCGTGCATCTCGTAAAGGATTCGTCATGAGAACGGGATCATCGGACTCTTTTCCCCCAAGATTTCCCTCCTCGATGAGCGTCGAAGGATTCGACTCAATTTTTTCTTCTCTCTCTCTCTCTTTTTCAACTCCACCGAACTCAACCAACCGGATCCTTTTTTATCGTTCTCGATCCATCTGGTCTGGCTACACCGCCACCAGGAAATTTATCCTTCTTGTCTTATATCCCTACGTTTTCTTCTTTTTTTTTTTAATTCGTCCAAAGTGATCAAATCAAAGGGAATCTCGGAAATAAGATTGAACTAATAAAGTGAATCGATAAGGACGATCATTATCGAACAACTGGAGGATTGGTTAAAGAGAGGAGGGGGAAGAAGGAGGAGGGATATCCTTGGTGATTTCTGGTCGGCCCCGCGTGGCTCAGGATCTCTTTGATCCTTATTTCATTATCCCGCGACGGGGCCGAGGTAAGAGCATCCGTTTGCAAATTCTTCTTCCTCTCGTCTCGGAGATTGCCAAGTCGCGGAGAAAATTCGTTTTATTGGAATCGACGTTGGGGTCGTCGCGTGGCCACCCCCCGTTTCTTCGTTTCTTCGATCGGATGCACTCCGCTTCGACTCGACGGAAGCGAAACTCCTCCTCGACGTCAAACTGCTCCACTATCTCCGCGAAATTAGCGAAACGATGCACCACTTGGAAATCTCTCTCTCTCTCTCTATCTATCTATCTATTTCTCTCTCTCTCTCTCCCTCCCTCCAATGTCCCGCGGTCGATCGAAATTACTGCACGTTCCTGTCGCACATCAGCACTTCTGCCCGACCATCTAACAGGTGTTAACTCTGTACTCGGGATCCTCGAAGCCAGCCCCACAAGCCGCAACACAAATCTCACATACGCACATTATTCTTCCCAAATTTCTATCCCAACTCCCCGCGTAGTTCACCACCATCGATCCACTTTTTATCCTCGCCGATTTAAAAGATTAAACCGTGTCACCGGTTCGAAATATGTGCCCGCACTCGGTTCCACCTTCTATTCCAATCGTCACAAAGATTATCGTCGTAAAAATCGTTCCCCAACAAAAATTCGTCGTCCACCCCGACGATCTTCTCGTCGCTTTTAAATTTCCTTCCGGTTTATTCGATCTCCGGGAAAAAAAAAAAAAAAGAAGAAGAAGAAGAAGAGAGAAACACGATCTTTCTCGATCCTTGGCTCGAAGACGGGGACGAAGCGTAACTTCTTTTCTTGCGGCGACGACGACGAAGACGACGAGTCGGTGGACGGAACGAGAGCGGTGGACTAAGAGCGAAATTCGAAATTATCGGGGTTTTGTTTCGGTTGTCAGCGATCGAGCACGGGGTCAGAAGGCGAGAGACACTTCTTCGTGGCTGATACTTGGGCGGTGGCAGCGGCAACTTCCACCACGGGGAAGTAGGATAGGGTGTTTAACTCGCGCGGTCTCGTTTCGGTTCGGCGGTGGAAGATGGCGGCTTCTGCGGTGGAGCCGCGCGGTGTGGTTGCGGTGTATTTTTGAGGCTGCCGCCCCCAGCCACCACCGAGACCACCCTGGCTAACCTACCCCTCCGTGCCTCTCTTCCACGCCGCCGCCACCACCGCCTGCCCGTACTAAGCGAGTGGTGGGGGTTGGTTTTTCCAAGCGGTGGGGAAAAATCTCTCTCTCCTGCTGCACCCTCTTCCACGATCCTGATGCTATATACTCCTGCTGATCGCGACTACCCGATGACAACACACCCGTTTTGTCTCTCTCTCTCTCTCTCTCTCCCCCTCCCCCTCCTCTCCCTCTCCACTCCTCTCCTCTCTTCCTCTCTTCTCTCGCGAGAGAAACTCGTGAAGGAATGTCTTTTGCCCCGAGAACGAGAATAAAAAAGGAAGAAGAAGAAGAAGAAGAAGAAGAAAAAGATGAAGGAGAAGAAGAAGAAGAAGAAGAAGAAGAAGAATTCCCTTTGACGAGAATTTTTTTTCTTTTTTCCTCTCTTCGTTCCTTGCATCAATCGCGATTTATCTCGCGACGAACCGAATAGTCACGATTAGTCACGAGGTTACGTTGAATCGAAGCTTGGTCCGATTCCGCGCCACGTCGTTGGGATCCATCGAGTCGCGATCACTCCGAGAACGATCTCTTCTCTCGCCACGATCGTTGAAACGATTCATTTCGCGGTGGAATCTTTTTAATCACACTGGATCATCTTGGACGCGTTACTTCACCAAACCAGTCTTTCGACTCGACACTGATCTCCTCCTCCTCTTCTTCACACTCGCGAACCAGAAGAGTCCCGCGAAGGGGGCACCGGTTTAAAACGAGAACACCACACCGATTGCCGACCGCGGTTTCGAAGTGGCGAAAAGGAGAGAAAATAAAAGGAAAGGTCGCTTTCGGTGTGCAATTAGTGGACGGTGGCCGGGATCGTTTTCCACGTTGCGGTCGGCCCGATACACCGATAACGAGAAGAGAGTTGCTCCTCTTCGGCCTTTCCTTCGACGCCGACAGTTCGATTGTCTTTTTTTCTCCCCCGGCCGTTTCCTCGTCGAGCTTCCTTTCCCGCTTCCGTCGTTCAACGACCTCCCCTCGCCAGCCTGCAAAACGACACTGGGAAGAAAGGGAAAACAAAGACGGCAGAAAGGTCCCTCGTGTAGTTGCGTTTAGCACCGAGGAACACGGGGGGGAAGAATTGCGCGATGCTTGGGGGCTGTTCGAGGGTGCAGGCCCGAGCGAACGAAGACGGGATGGAGGGTTGGAGGGTGGAGAGAGAGAGAGAGAGGAGGGGATTACTTTGTCTTAATGTCGCCGTCATACGCGCACGAATGGTGCACGGCTCGCACACGGGTCTCGAAACGAATCTTTCCAGATTGCTAGGGTGCGATTCCTCTTCGAGTGGTCCCGATTATTGCGACACGGCCGTTTCGCGAGAAAAGATATTCGATTCGAGACAAAAAAAAAAAAAAAGAAAAGATATTCCGCGAGTTTTAAAAAAATGATAATTCTTTTCCTCCTCTTTTGATCAATGTCGTGTTCGAAACGAATTTTTCGGATGTTGTTGGAAAAAAGGACGGAGGTGTTGGAATATCGGTATGGAGGGGACGATTCGGAGCAATCTCACCGCTGGAAATTAAACTACGAGCCACGCGAATGGCATCGCGTCTCTCTTTCGACCGACGCCAGAAGACTATCGATCATGACGGATCTGTAGCAAGTTACGAGAATCCCTGAACGGGGATAGCACCCCATACGATTCCACACCCCTATGGGTAACAATGCAACGCCTCCGCGTCCCTAAATTGTCGAGTTCCCAAGATGCATTTCGTCATACATTTCGAACCCTCGGCCCATGCGTCGTCTTTTTTCTTTCTTTCTTTCTTTCTTCCTCGCTCTCATCACTCTTCATCCCTTCATTTTTCGAAACACTACTCACGCGCACGTCGTGCACGGTGAACCGTAAGAGATCCGTGCAATAATTTTGCGATCGTCATTTGGTCGAGTAATGAGGGTGGACGAACGGGTTTACAAATAAAATATTTTCCAATGGCACGCGTTACAATTGAAAATTAACGATCATCCGGATCAACGGAAGGATACGAGTCTTTTTAAATTTCCAAAGAAACGCGTCGCGCCGTTCTCGCGAATTCTTTGCGCGTTCGTCGGCCGAGGGACGAAGGGAAAAACTTGTTCGAAAAAGAATCGATCGTCGCGTTCCAAAGCGCAAATTTCCAAAATGGAGCGCTTTTTCCTTCCTTCTGGAAAATCTAAGGATCTAGGACGGGTATGTATACGGATATACGGCGAAGCGACGATCGAAGCAGGGATATTTAGCGGATTTCGAATATATATGGAAAATAGTAGCCTCGCGCTCGAGCCCGCGTCGATTTTTCACAAAAAACAGGTATTTAATTATATCGTTCGATTCGACGTGATTTCGTGTAATTAAATCCTGTCTCCATAAAATTACCAGCCGAAACGGCCAAGCGACAATATTTTTCAATTAAAAGAAAAATATATTCGATTACGCGACCGGTGTCCGCCGAGCTTCGACCGGAGTTTCACACCTGTCCCGTCCACCGTTCCTTCTCATTTCTATGATTCCCTCTCTCTTTCCTTTTATTTCTATTTTTTCCCCTTTTTTTCCTTTTTTTCCTTTTTTTTTTTTTTTTTTCCGTTTTCACGTGCTCTCGGCCTTTTGACAATAACGATATTCCATAACCCGCATCCGACACGGTCCACATAATCGGTATCGCGGCGGTGAATGCTGGACGATTATCGACGCACTTTTCCGTACAAATTAATTGGCCCAATTATCGACACCGAACAATTACCTACTGGCGACCAATTAGATCAACGCCGCTCGTTGTTCCCGCGCTGCCTGGCAAGAAATAATTGGTGCTCACGTCCCCCCCACTTTGCTTCCCGAAAAAATGGAAAAAAAAAATCGTCCTCCACCGAAAAAGAGACGGAGGGGGACATAGAGGGGGGCAGAGAAGGAGGAGGAAAATAGAAGACGAAAATTCGCGCTCTCGAAAGCAAAGAGGAGAGGAGAAGAAGAAATAGAGAGGAGGGGGAGGGGGAGAGGGATAACCGATACCAAACGTCGCGGAATCGATCCCGATCGGATTTCACCACCTACTACTTTAGTAACTCGAGTCACTGCTTCATGTGTACCACCACCAATTACAACCAATTGTATAATTCCCCTTCCTCCCCCCCTCCGGGGGCGAATTTCCACGCACGCACGCACGCACGCACGATTCCAAACCGAACGGCCGAACGTACTCTCCACGTATACTCTTCCTTCCCCGATTCTTCTTCTTCTTCTTCTTCTCCCCTCAGGCGACCGCGTGTCGTCGCGCACACTTTGATTTTCGCGGCCGTGAAAACGTCTGCCAAGAACGTGCTCCTCTTTTGAGGACGAGAGGGGGGCGAGGGAGGGGGGGGAGGAGGAGGAGGAGGAGGAGGGTTTCGAAGGGGTGGAAAGAGGAGAGAAGAAGAAGGGTGGCCGGTTGCCGGAATACGGCGGTAATCACACACGGTTAGCACATGTTGGCCTGGCCAATTGTCGAAAAAAGGACCGCGCGGCTCCGTCCTCCAAGACGTGACCGTCTTGGGGAGAGGAGGGGGCTGAGGGGGGAG